AGAGGGAGCGGCCACACCCCTGGCTGGTGGCAGCGGTACACGCCGGTCGTTGAAAGTAGGTACTTTTGGATTCCCAGATCCCAATCTACTTCAAGCGCCTTCCTACTTCAATGATCGACATGCTCCTGCTCTGTTTTGCTGTTTTCTGGGAGGACCTGGACCCAATCTACGATATCCGCCTTCCTGCTTCCTGCTCTTGCCTACTTCCTCCGACCAAGGTGTGCTCAAGCATCGCAGGGACTTAGTATCAAAAACAGCGAGGAGTTCACGCATGCATTTTTCCATACATCAAATCCTATATTTAAAAAATCCATTAAATTAAATCCTATATGTATATATTTTTAAGTATTCAGCATCCTATATGTAAAAAAAACCCTATGGACTAAAGCCTGCCCTGCACTTCCTCCGACCGGCGTGTGCTCCTGCCTCCCCGCGCGCGGGCCTGCAGCCAGCGCGCCGCCTCGAGGGGCCGCGCCGCCTCGAGCGGCGCGCGGCGCGGCCTCCGGCGGCGGCTCGGGGGCCCCACGGCCCGTGCAGGCCGCCGTTTAGGGTCTAGGATTTAAAATTTAGGGTCTAGAGTTTCGGGTTTAGAGTTTAGGGTTTAGGACCTCCCTAACCCTAAACCCTAACGGGCGGACCCTAAACCCTAGACCCTAAACGGGCGGCGTGCCCTGGAACGGCTCGTGCCCGCAGGGCCAGCGCCTGCAACCGTCGGGGGCGGCAGAGAGGGGGGCGATGACTATGTCTGGAGTGTTTTTTTTTGGTTGTGGTATGAATTGTCGGATCGTTTTGGAGTTTCTTTTTTGTTTGTTTCGTCTTGTTTTCGATTCTATTTTGACTATTTTTTGAATGCTTGGGGTGATGACTATGTTTTGATCATTTTGGAGTGTTTTTTTTAACTATTTATTATTTTTCGTCGAATCCCCCCCTGTATGGGGGACACGCCCGACTCAAGACTACGGGGAGTGGATATCACGGCGGGGGCCATGATATTTCCCCAGATTTCATGGCGCCTCTTCGTATTTCATTACGTCCCTGGCCCCCCCGCTGGGTCGCGCACATGCCGCCGGTCATGATTTGCACGCACCCCTCTTGGACACCCCCTTTTTGGCCGCTCCCGATACAGATACCGACGCCGTTACAGTGGAGACCCTTGCCGAGAAACACCCTGCTTGCCACAAAGGGTGCCCTGGGTTTCCTGGGTTTCGACGGCTTTGCGCTGGAGAGCGCGACGTTCCCACGCCAGAAATCAACGGACGTCCTGGGGTCTCAGAGTTGGGTTTCTTGTGGAAGGTTCCTTGTGGACGGGCCTCCCCTGTGCCTGTACCTTTGTCCCGCTGTGTCCCCTTTCGGGGCCTCCTGGGGGGGCCCTCGTCGCCAGCGCTAGCTCCCTTTCGGAGTAGCAGTCCTCCAAGATCAGGAGGGAAAGCGAGTACCAATCGGCGAGGACAATCAGTGCGGCTACGCCAGGATGTGGTTTGCGATCGGCGCCGTGGGGGCTTGGCTTTAAGTCGGGCCTGTCCCTCTACAGGGGGGATATTCAAAAATAGTAAAAAATAGTCTGGGGACTATTTTTTGTATTTTTCACCATTTTGGAATATGTTTTTTGTATGTTTTACTTTTCGTCGGAAATCCCCCTGTAGGGGGACACGCCCGACTTAGCTTAGCTTATGGGAGTCACCACGCTGCGCCAAAGGTTCGATGAGGCCTCGTCAGGGCGAGGCCGAGGTCCTTGTCGAGGTCCTCGCCAGCCCCGCCCCCCCGATGCGGGCTGCAGATCACACCCTTTGCCAAGGGCGCCCTTGAGGGCGCGAAGTTATTCGCGCTTCGCGGTTCGGCTCCGATTCCTCTTCATTCTCCTTTTCTCCCCTGGGAGGCGGCGCGAGAGCGCGAAGTTATTCGCACTTCGCGCTTCACGCAGCGCGAAGCGCGAAGCTGGGAGCCCTTGCTTTGCAAACCACACCCTTCGGAGCCCCCCACAAGGGAAGAGCGGATCGTGCCCTCGGGATTGGTGTTCACGTCGTGAGCAAGAACACGACGGGAGGTTTTTTGCAGTTTTCGGCCCCTGGATGCCTTTGGCGGACGCCGGGGCCGTCAAGAGAACGACTCGGGATGAGAAGCGGGTCCCGGAGAATGGATTACCTTTTATGTTTGGGGGGTCTTTTCTTGTCATGCAACTGCCAGTCTTTTCTTGTGCTCAGGCGTGGGTTCGACGTGGACTCGACAAGGATTCGCATCGGATTCGACACGGATTCGACGTGTCCGACATGGATGCGATGGGACAGACGAGGTTCTCCCCCAAAGACGTATCATAACATGTGCGTGATTTGCAAGGGTCCTCGTTTTAAAAACACATGCGGAGCTGCTGCGCACGCGAGCCCACGTCAGTCTTCTCGCGCGCCCTGGCGTCTGCGGTCGATTGCCACGGATCGGTGTGTATTCCTAGGCCTTCCATACGAGGTCAGAGTAGATGGAGTCGGTGGATCACGACGCATTGCCGATGCATCGAAAATGCAATTTGATGTGGAGCACGACTTTCGCCACGCCAGCGTCGCCCGTGCATCGCCGATGCACAGGCGATGCGGCGCGATCCTCCGACCCCATGTACTCGGACCTCATTCCGGGACGCCCTTAGTATCGAAGGCTCTTTGCAACCTGGAGATAGCGGGTCCTGAGGGAAGTGGGTCCTGAAGCTTCTCGCCGTTTCCAAGCTCCCGGGGCCCTCCACGGGCCCCGGGCCTGTCAACCAATTGCTCAGTGCGAAAAGCTGGTCCCGGGGGAAGGCCCCGGGGGTCCAGGATCTATTGCCCTCGGGGCTCGCTTGCTTCATCCAGGAGGGGAAGCATCACACAGACACGATGGATCCTCGAGATTCCCCAGGCAATGCGGGAACATAGGGGAAGGGGGGGGGGGGGGGAAGACAACAGCCCCGAAGATGGGGGGAAACCTGGGGCATCCTGCCATTTGTGTGCATCTTTTTATGTGTCCCAGGCCCCCCGTATTGGAGAGGCCTGACGGCGGCTAGGAGTCGGGGGAGGAAGCGGAGGAGGAGGAGGGGGAGGAGGAGGAGGAGGAGGAGGGAGGAGACGAGGAGGAGGAGGAGGAGGAGGAGGAGGAGGAGAAGGAGGAGGAGCAGGAGGAGGAGGAGGAGGAGGTGTGCATCTTTTGATGTGTCCCAGGGCCCCCCGTATTCGCTGCCCCTCCGCCAAGTGTGCCGAAGGCTCCGAGGGTGGGGAGCCCGGGCGGGCACGGGCCTGAGGCCGTGGCCCGCCTCTGCCCCCGCGGGTCCCCCTTCGGCGCTGGGGCAGTTGCCAACCCTGCTCCTCCTCCTCCTCCTCCCTCCTCCTCCTCCTCCGCCTCCTCCTCCCCCTCCTCCCTCCTCCCCCCCCTCCTCCTCCTCCTCCTCCTCCCTCCTCCTCCTCCTCCTCTCCTCCTCCTCCTCCTCCTCCTCCTCCTCCTCCTCCTCCTCCTCCCCCTCGGGGTCGGACGGTGCCAGGCACAATTCGTACCACAGTCAACCCGCGCAACGATCGGGCGAGCAGGCCTATGCACATGCACCGATGCTGACCAGGCCCGTCCCAGGGCCCAGGCTCAGTGTATGTGCCTCCCTGGCCGAGCCACGGAGGCGTATGCACCGATCCTGGGCTCAGGAGGGGCCTGGCCAGAATCGGTGCATGTGCATGGCTCTCTTTCCTCTAAATAAGAGTGGGCAGCCTTCCCGAGGGTACCCTTGCATCCTTGCCCCCATCGGTCCATCCTTCGCCACGTTCGTTGGCCGCGCCCCGCTCCAAGGGCTGCGAATTTGGCGTCCAAGGCCCTTTTGCATCCTTGTCGCGCATCCTTACTGCACGGGTTGACTGTATTCTGAACCCTCCTGGTGTTTCAGAAATGTGACCTGCAGGAGCAATTTGGGCTTCGCATTCGGTGCCCTAGTGGGGCGGCGTGGAAGAAGATGCCGTCGCCCGAACCGTGCTGGGCATCGCGGGCGCGGATCGTGGCGCGTTCTGTCGAGGTTATTGTCTGGGCCAGCATGCGATTTGAGCAGAGCGCGCACTGTCAGGGGTGTCCTCGGTTAATCTCTCTATTCTCCTCCCGCGCCCTCCTGCCTGCCTCTGGTTTCATCCCTCCTGGCCTCTGCCGTTTTTTTCCGCCTCTCACGCCTTGCCTCCCCCTCTCGTTGTTGCCGTCCTCACTTTTGCATGGCGCCTCCGTCCTGTTATCTTGATAACTCGCTGAGCCTCTAAGCACGCCACGCTGCATCTCCTCCTCCCCAAAGGCTTCTGGAGGCCCCTGGAGGCGTCCGGAAGACAGAATGGCAAAGCACGTTTGAAGCCCCCCTTTCTCCAAGCACGCGTAGCCATCCACCCACCCAATTTGTGGACGCAGCGAGCACGGAATTGGATATCTAGTTTAGATACCGACAACTCGGCGGTCAGCGCAAACGTTAGTGACGATGATATCCAGAAGTTTCTACACAATGTGCATCGACATGTTGGCGCAGCACGCAACGCGACATCAACGACGCCACCCAACCACGACGATACCCTCCATCGCGACACCGACGACTTGAGATGGCTCACAGCGGCGACCAAGACGACATGATGGAACTCACTCGAGAGCGCCTTCGTCACGATTGCCGTCTGATGCCTCTAACTGTAACATACCCGCACCGTTGGTAGCACGCACACAGCCGACCACCCGACCACCGACTAACGGCGCGCTGCGCCAGCAACAGCATGAAACCCGGTACAGACCGCCAGTGCCGACTTCACCCAGCGACGCGGCACCACCAACACACGACGACATCGATTACAAGGAGTCCTCCTCTTCCTCCTCTATTGCCCCGCAACGTTACGAAATGTCTCGCGCGCACGTTCGTTCGTTCGTTCCTCCCTCCTCCTCTCCATCCCCCTCTCGGTCCTCTTCCCTCCTCCCTTCCTGCCCCCTCCTCCCCCTCTCGCCCCTCCCCTATCCTCCCTCCCCGCTCGCACGAGCACGAGGTCGAGGTGGTCACCAACTACATCTCCAGGGCGCGGGCGGCGGCCGCCCCGACGGAGGCGGCGGCCAAGGCGCACCGCATTGACCCGACTCACCGCGGCATCCAGGACGGGGAGACCTTGTGCCCCAGGCGAGAAGAAAGTTGACGAGAAGACAGCACACGCCCGCACCCATGGGAGGGCCGGAGGGAGGAGGACTGGCTACGGGTATGAGTGCGGGTTGTCGGACCCCGGGGGGGGCCCCGTTCGAGCGGGGACCCCTTTCCGACAACACGCGCTCATAGCCCTCTCCGTCCCCCTTACGGGTATGGGTGTGTGTGTGTGTGTGTCTTGATCGTTCGTCACCCGGAACACGATCGGGCGGCCGTCATCGGGAGCGATGAAGAGGTGCGCGCCTTTGCAGCCTCTCTTGGGCGCAGGGTTGGCAGTTTAGGGGCCCTCTAGGGCTCCGTCCTCCCCCGCTCCCTCCTCCTACTCCTCCTCCTCATCATCATCATCATACTCCTTCTCCCCCTCCTCTTATCCCTCGTCCTCCCTCTCCTCCCCCCCTTCTGCTCCTTCTCCTCCTCCTCCTCCTCCTCCTCATCCTCCTCCTTCTCCTCCTCCTCCCCCCCGCTTTATTCCCCCCCCCCCCACATTAACGTCCGCCCGATAAGAAAATACCGCGATGATGACTTCAGGAGGACCCGCCAACAGGGCCGTCGACAATCCGATTCGATGTGATTCGATTCGCCGTCTGGGGCCGCGATTTCGATTCGATTCGATTCGGTTCGATTCGGCGGCACTGGCCGGGGCCAGCCGGAGCTGGCCGCGGAAAGCCGAGGTATGTTCGATTCGATTCGGGATAGTGTTATTTAGAGTGTTATTTATAGAGAGGCCTTGAGCAATACATGATACATGCTGAAACGTTGTTTAATATGGTGAGGTTGGAACATGTGTTCAGATGTTCCGGAAAGGTCTTTTTCCGAAAACAATATCGCACACCATAAATCGTGATTGAAGTCTTGATTTCAGTTATTGTACATTCCATTGGTTGAATGAGTGATACAGTTGTGCTTGTATGAGTTGTTGCAGTGGTGAGTTTGCTTATCTACGTCTCTGAATTGTTAATGCACTATTACCTGATAGAGCACAACATGTACACATACTCTATTCATGGTGCTTTCTTTCATAAATATTCTTGTGCCTTTAGTAGAAGTAAGACAGTGCTATTACACATGTTCATCACGCTTGAGTTTTCAAATCATTCGAGGTGTTTTAAGCAGCTACCAGTTATCAACGTTCACGTGAGAATTCCGTTATTCGTGCGCATATACTTGTTACGATTGAATTAGTGGCCATCCAATCAATTGGTTTACGGCTTCATCATATCATTTGCCAGACCATATTTGGCGAGTTGCTTAATTTCATGCGCCAAAGCAAGACGCACTAGTATTCACGCTTCCGGTATCCATACCAGCTAATTCTGAAATGCTGCCCATGAGAGTGGACGGGAGATGGCAGGAAGAAACACATATAGATAACCAGAACAGGCAACCATGGTGAATTGAGGATGCGGCGGAGCAGGTGGACGAGGAGGACCAGTGTAAATCCAAAATGCATCAACGATGTTGCAATAGACTTTGCCTCGAAGTTCCCTCTTCACATGTCCCTACAAGGATTCGCGAGGGTCCCATAGCTGGGTCCCCCCCCCTGGGCCCTCAAAATCGCCTCTTGGGGCACTCTTGGGGCGCTCTTGGGCGCTCTTGGGGCCCTCTGAAGGGCCTCTTGGGCCCCGGCCTCTTGGGGCTCTCGTGGGCCATCTTGGGGCGCATCGGAAGCGAACAGACGAGAAGACAAATCATTGAGTATCCATCGGTTTTTGAAGGAGTTTAGCCTCTGGGGTGTCCTGATGACGGCTCCGCGAGCACTTGGAACTGTCTTGTGGCTCTCTTGGGACCTCTTGGAGCCATCCTTGAAGCGATCTCGCTCTATCTTGAGCCATCTTGGAGCATCGGAGGCCCTCTTTGAGCCATCTTGGGCGAAAAAGGACCCCCTCCCCAAGAAACCTCAGGCAGGCGGAAGGCAAGGGGGATTTCAACGAGGAGCAAACATACATCGTTAGACCACCAACGCCCAAAGGGCTGGTGGGATTCTTGCTCCAGAGGGCGCTAAATCACGCCCATCCGATCCTTTCCCGACCCGATCCGATCTCGCGATTCGACGTCGCTCATGCCTGGCAGAGTTCCCTGGTCGGCGCCGGGGCCAGCGCCGCCCCTTGGGTCCAGCGCCAGTCCGAGAGATGCGCACGGACCTCTCACGCGTTTGTGCTCTGTGCATTGTTTTGTTGCTGGGAGGGGCGGCTGGTTCCACCAGAGATCTCTACAGGCCCGGCATTGATCCAGGTCTCGGCGAAGACAGAGAGAGAGAGAGAGAGAAAAAAAAAAGAGAGAAAGAGAGAGAGAGAGAGAGAGAGAGATGGGGGAGAGAGAAGGCGAGAGAGAGAAGGCGAGAGAGGGAGAGACCGACGGAGCAGGCCAGACAGACCGTCAGACAGAGGCACAAAGACAGAGACAGAGACAGAGAGAGATCAGGAGGGGAAAAACACACACAGACCCAATTAATCGTCCACTCCCAGGAAAATATAGGAAAATATGGGAAGTGCGGGGGAAGACAACAACTAACAAAAAAAACATGAAAATATGGGGAATCCTTTTATTTGTGTGTATTTATTTGTGTGTCCTGGGGCCCCTTCAAGAGAGAGAGAGGGAGAGACCGACAGAGCAGGCCAGACAGACCGTCAGACAGAGGCACAAAGACAGAGTCAGAGACAGAGAGAGATCAGGAGGGGAAAAAACACACAGACACAATTAATCGTCCACTCCCAGGAAAATATAGGAAAATATGGGAAGTGCGGGGGAAGACAACAACTAAAAAAAATGGGAAAATATGGGGAATCCTTTTATTTGTGTGTATTTATTTGTGTGTCCTGGGGCCCCTTCAAGAGAGAGAGAGACCGAGTAGGGGCCAGACACCCAGCTTGCCACGCTGGCAGGGCCCTCGGCAAGACCGGCACGCCAGCGGCAGCATGTCCCCTGGGTGGGGGAGACTTCGGCGGCTGTCGGCTCGGGCCAGGCAGGGGCTGGCCACGCCCTCTCCTCCTCCTCCTCCTCCTCCTCCTCCTCCTCCTCCTCCTCCTCCTCCTCCTCCTCCTCCTCCTCCCCCCCCTCCCCCCCCCCCCCTCCCCCTCCGCCTCCCCCTCCCCCTCCCCCTTCCCCTCCCCCTCCCCCCCTCTCCCCCTCCCCTTCTTCCTGAGGGTCTGGCGCGCCGCGGGGCCGTGGAGGCCCAGCAGTTCTGGTCTTTCGTCTGAGGCAGGCAGTAAAAGGCGAAGAACGCCTGCGCGGTTCTGGTCGGCTCTGCGGGGGATATTTTTGTCCGCATCCTCCGCAGATTGGAGAGTCGGGCTCCCTTCACCAGAAACCCGAGGTGCACTGGACATGGACGAACTTGCCACCCAGAGGCTCGATCACCATCCACATCCAGTGCGCCTCGGCCTCGTGGCGCCCCTCCCAAGAAAGTCCAGGACGCACTGGATATGGATGCAGTTCTTGCCCGCAGGCTTTGTCCTTCCCACCAGGTACAACCCGATCCCGAGCTACAACCCCACGCGCCCGCCACCGGTCTAGGCCTGGCGGCAGAGGCGCTGGAGGCCTCCGTCGCGGCGCGCGGGTCTGAGGGCAGAGGCGCCGGAGGTGTGAGGCTCGCCCTATATTCTGCATCGCTTCTCTAGGGGAAAAAACAGCGACATGAAAATAAGACTCGGAGGTCCGCGCGGATTTCTCGGATCGGCACTGGACCCCCTCCCTGGCTTGCGGAGCGCGCCAGGATCGGCGCCGGAGGCCCCGCCAGGGGGTGCCGATCCGAGGCATCCGCGCGGGCCTCTGAGTTTTTATGTTCATGCCATTGTTTGTTCCCCTACTCTCTATTCGGAGATCGCAGAAGAGCAGCATAGTGCGTGTCGCGTTTGCGTCAGTCTCACTTCTGATACCCTCGCTCTAGCCAGTGAGTCCTCCTTGTGCGCTGGCTGACCATGCCCTAGGGCTCGGTGCCACGGCTAGAGTGCGCGCTGATTTTTGTTGTGGGAGCTGATCGAGGAAAATGAGGCGTCCTCTTCCCCTCATGCAGCTACCCATGGTTGGATGACCATGCAACAGGAGTGGGAATGTGTGGACGCGTTTGTGGGCGGTTGGTTGTGAGGTGAGGGTAATTAAGTGTGGTTCAAGTTACCGTCGGCGGGAACGCCTTAAGCTGCTTCGCTAGCCATTGGAAGCCGATACAGCGGCCAGGTCCGCGACGCTCGCGAGGTGCGCCACGCCAGCCAGGCACGCCGTGCGCACAACATGCTTGAGGTGCCCATGGGGGCCCGAGCGTGACAGGCGCTGCGCGACTCGGGCAGGGTGCAGAAGGTGAGATAACTTGGCATCGCTCGGACGTGTGCATGTTTCCTTCGGCGAGGACCATCGAGGAGCATCCTTGATCATTTGGCGAAAAACCCGCGCACGAAACCGAACAAAACACGTGGAATGGACGTCCGAGCGATGGCCAGATAAGATGGTCATTTGATACCTATTCCCTGATCCTCAGGGGTGATGACCGGGGGGACTCCCTGTCGCCGACGCCCAGGGTGCTCAGGGTTGGAAGCTCTGGCTCCCAGACTGCCGATCCCCCGCCGCGTGCGGGCGGGGCTGCCCCCCCCGCGCCCAGGTGCAATCCTACCGTTAAGTCGGGCCTGTCCCCCCACAGGGGGATTTTCGACGAAAAGATTCCCCAAAAATGCACCAAAAAGGTCAAACAAATACGCAAAAAATAATCCCCAGACTATTTTTTTATTATTTGTTGATTATTTTTGGTGTATTTTTTATTTTTCGTCGAACCCCCCCCTCTAGGGGGACAGGCCCGACTTAATCCTACCGGCGATGCGCCGGCGCTGTACCGGTAACTCCAGGTCGATCCCAGGTCCACTGGTTGGATACCGCCGGTGGCGAGCCATTATAAGGGAAGGACTGGGAAGCCAATCACCTTCCTCGACCACCTGCGCTTCTGAACGGGCTCGGGTTCGCCCGCGCCGCCCTTCGAAGGGGCCTGCGCCGTTCGCTAGCGGACGCGCGCCTCCTGCGTCCTGCGTCCTCTTGTCCCAGAGATGCGAGGTCGCGACATGTGTGTTTGTACATGTATGTATACACATTTGTACAACCGCATGGCCTTGCTTTTCTGAAGGTGAACTACGTTTTGCCTTTGTCCTGGATCGTCCGGTATATTTTGGGGTTCTGAGGACCTCTAGAGGTCCTCATATTCCCAGAATATGTATTCGCAGCGTGTTGTTTTTTGTTTTTTGCTAATTGTAAAATTACAGGAATTAGAGTGGTTGAAAATAGGGGGAAGTTAGGGCATAGAGTGGTTTAAGATAGGGGGAAGTTAATTTTCAAAAATACGAGGAACCAAGTATGAAAGTTATCTCCCACAACTTCAACCCAACTTCAACCCAACTTCCACAACTTCATCAGACCTGTTTTTGGTCATCTCAGCTGGGAGAAGCAGAGAGGACCACGGAAGCCCCGCAGGGGGGGCGGAGAGCCCGTGCCCGCCCGGTGCCGGCAGCCGCTTCGCCAGAGCCTTCCGCACACCTTGCGGCAGGCTCGCGCGGTGTCGCCCAGCGGCACGCGTCGGCAGGTTCCCGCCCGGCGTCGGTGCCGGGGCTGGGGGGGCCGCGCCGGAATTCCTCTAGCTCATCGATGCCGCAGAACTCTACGAGGTATGTCGAAGAGCTCTGCGAGGTATTCCTCTAGCTTGTCGATGCCGAGGAGCTCTACCAGGTCCTACCCCCCACGATTTCTGAGGGGGAGGGTGGGGTTCACTTCGTCTGGGAGTTCCCGAGCGAAGTGAGCCCCACCCTCGCCCTCAGAAATCGTGGGGGGTAGGGGTGGGGCTCGCATGTGGCCCCCTAAGAGCCCGTGCCCGCCCAGTGCCTCATAGAGCGGGTCGTCGAGGCTCATGGGGCTCAGAAGGGTCAAATTGTGCCACCTGGGCCCAGTAGGCCCATCGGGTTCAGAATGGGTCGCCGGCGTCCAACTTTGAGCGCCGCCGGCGACGCAGAATCGGTCGATGCTGAACGATCTGGCGTTGTGGAGACGGCCGATCGTTCCAGGTGGAACGATCCCCGCGGTGTCAGGAACCGGCGCCGACGTCGGCACGATACGAGCCTGCCGTGCGCAGGAACGAGTCCTCGCCCCAACGCCGTCTACGTGTTTGGTCTGGACGACCACGATCCCTTGTGAACTAAGGAGGGGAAAAAAAAACACAGACACAATTCATCGTCGATTCCCAAGAAAATATGGGAAAATATGGGAATCGGGGGGGAAGACAAAGTCCAGAAAATACGGGGAAATATGGGACATCTTTTTATTTGTGTGTAGTTATTTGTGTGTCACAGGGACCCTTCAAGAACAGCACACTGAGGTGCACATGGCCGTGCTCTCATCCCGGTCCCTGTGGCCGACTTCCTACCCCTCGACCCGCCTCTTCACCTCTGCTGCTACTCGGATGCCTTGCTGTGGTATGTTTCCAACGGCGGCGCAAGAGAATTTGACCCCCTCCTCGGGGCCATCTGATTCGTCACAGGCCGTTGTCAGAGAGTGCTCAGCGACGCTCCTTGGGCGCCGACCTTCTGGCTCTGGATGGGCAATGTGGATCGGCGACGTATCGTTGATTGCTACCCCGCCTTCTTTGCCACCCCCGTGCTCGCCCCCAGGAGAACCCGTGACAGCACCCCCCAGCCTTCCGAAAGCCACCCGAAAGATGTTCCAGCGAGAATCTCCAGAGGCGAGCAGTACTTCTGTCCATATCCACTGCGGTATGGAGTTTCGGGCTCCCTTCCCCAGAAACCCGAGGCGCACTGGATATGGATAAATGTGCCCCCTAGAGGCTCGATGTTTTGGAGGTTGGGGCTCCCTTCCCCAGAAACTCTAGGCGCGCTGGATATGGATAAACATCTGGCCCCCAAAGGCTCGATGCTTACCCATGTCCAGTGCGACTTTGCCTTGCGGCACCCCTTCCCAAACAGTCCAAGACGCTCTGGATGTGGATATGAGTGTTGCCCGCACCAGACATGCAACGTCCTGAAAAAACAGAGCGGCGCTTCTGTTCCCAACCATCCTGTGGTGCTGGGTCCTCGCTCTGAGAAGGCGCCCCGCGTCTCTCTCCTCCTCCTCCTTCCTCCTCCCGCTTTTCCCGCCTCCCTGCGTTTCCACTGCCCAGTACGGCGCTTCGTGGCCCCATAGGGAGCTCCACCGAAGGTCTCAGTGGCGCAGCCCGCATGCGGCTCCCCCACCCAGTATTACGTTTCGTGGCCATCTGAGGAGCTCCTCCGAAGGTCCCAGTGGCGCAGCCCGCATGCGTCTTCCACACTCAGTATTGCGTTTCGTGGCCCTTTCGGGAGCTCCACCGAGGGTCACAGTGGCGCAGCCCGCATGCGTCTCCCACGCCCAGCACAGCCCGCATGCGACTGCCACACCCAGTGCATCGCTTCGTGGCCCCATAAGGAGCTCCACCGAAGGTTGCAATTCCCCACCCAGTACAGCGCTTCGTGGCCCTACAGGGAGCTCAACCTACGGTCGCAGTGGCGCAGTCCGCATGCGTCTCCCATACCCAGTACAGCGCTTCGTTTCAAAATAAGGAACTCCACCGAAGGTGCCTCTGGCGCAGCCCGCATGCGTCTCCCCCACCCAGTACAGCGCTGCGCGGCCCCATAGGGAGCACAAACTGTTCCAGTGTCGCAGCCCGCATGCGTCTCCACCACCCAGTGCAGTGCTTCGTGGCCCCATAGGGAGCCTACCGAAGTTCCCAGTTGCAACCAACATGCGTCCCCCACACCCAGTACAGCGCTTCGTGGCCCCATGGGGAGCTTCACCAAACGGCGCAGCCAGCATGCGCCTCCCCCACCCGTACAGCTCTTCGCGGCGACGTATGGAACTCGACCGAATGTCCCAGTGGCGCAGCCCGCATGCGTCTGCCCCACCCTGTACAGCGCTTCGTGGCCCCATAAGGAGCTCCACCGAAGGTGCCTGTGGCGCAGCCCGCATGCGTCTCCCCCACCCAGTACAGCGTTTCGTGGCCCCACAGGGAGCTCCACCGAAGGTCACAAGGGGGCGCAGCCCGCATGCGCCTTCCCCACCCAGTACATCCCTTCGTGGCCCCATAGGGAGCTCCACCCAAGGACCCAGTGTCGCAGCCCGCATGCGTCTTCCACACCCAGTACAGCGCTTCGTGGCGACGTAGGGAGTTCCACCGACGGTCCCAGGGGCGTATCCCGCATGCGTTTCACCCACCGAGTGGCCCCACAGGGAACTCGACCGAAGGTCCCATTGGCGCAGCCAGCATGCGTCCCCCCCACCCAGTGCAGCGTTCCGTGGCCCCACAGGGAGCTCCACCGAGGGTCCCAGTTGCGCAGTCCGCATGCGTTTGCCCCGCCTGGTGCAGCGGTTCGTGGCCCTACGCGGGAGCTCCACCGAACACGATGCCTACAATTGCGGTATTCACAACTGCATATGGTGAAGTCGTTCGCCAGGTTAATTTTTGTTGTTTGGACTTTCGGCCTCCAGGGTTTATTTATGGGGCCCCGAGATCGTAATAAACAACGCTTCGGAATGAGAAACCGGTCTTGGGGAACGGATTGGATTTTTTTGGGGCCGCGTATAATGACGTTACCGAGGAACCCCACATATTTATACGTAACATGTCTGGTGTGATGATCGCTGACGTGAAACTTGCAAGAATGATGGTGGTGGCCGTTGCTTCGCCGATACTGTTGGTGGCGCTGGCCAAGCTTTGGGAGCCTGAGCACCCCGAGGGGGACCAGAAAAGGGCAAACACCTGGGCGTTACTGGCTATCCGCCACTTTGACCCCGCCAGCTGGCTGGTAAAATTGAGGCCTGGGCGTTGCAGAATGGAATGTGCCCAGAGGGGGCCCAGAAAGAGCGAAGGCCTGAGACGACCCAGGATCCCAGGAGAGCAGGGCGGAGGACGACGGCAAGCACTTGGATGACGGCGCACCCCCTTCCTGGCGTCGAGGAAATGACACGCCTGCCACGCCCTGAGAGCATGTAGCGCATAGCGGGAGCATGCAACACATATCGCCCCCACCCACAGCGCACCCCTTGTGGCGTCGAGGAAATGCCACGCCTGCCACGCCCTGCGAGCCTGCAACGCATAGTGCCCCCACCACCAGCGCACCCCCTTGTGGCGTCGAGGAAATGCCACGCCTGCCACGCCCTGGGAGCACGCAGCGCATAGCGGGAGCATGCAACGCATAGCGTCCCCACCCCCAGCACACCCCCGTGTGGCTTGGAGGAAATGCCACGCCTGCGATGCCATAGGCGACCGTGCACGTATGTCTTGGGTGTATGATGCAGTGCGCCTGCCACGCCTTGTGAATCTTGAGCGCATGTGTTTTGCGTGTGTGCATGCGTGCGGCTGTATGTAGAACGCGTGTCTCATGGACTTGCCGTGCACGTGTTGCGCGCGGGTGAGGCGAGGAAGAGACGGAGAGGAAGAGGAGGAGGGGAAGAGGGAGGTGTGTGTGTGTGTGTGCGTGTGCGTGTTTGTGTGTGTGTGTGTGTGTGTGTGTGTGTGTGTGCGTGCGTGCGTGTGTGTGTGTGTGTGTGTGTGTGTGTGTGTGTGTGTGTGTGTGTGTGTGTGTGTGTGTGTGTGTGCGTGCGTGTGTGTGTGTGGTGTGTGTGTGTGTGTGTGTGTGCGTGCGTGTGTGTGTGTGTGTGTGTGTGTGTGTGTGTGTGTGTGTGTGTGTGTGGGGAGGAGACGCGGGCGCGACGCGGCAGGGAGGAAAACCAGAACCCCACTCTCGAAGAATGGAGCAGAACAGTCGGCCCAGGGCTCCAGCCGTCTGTTTGCTCTCGTGTTTTTCTCGCCACGTCGGCTCTCAGGGCCCCGCTCGGTTGCGCATCCTGGGGGGGTAACTTCGGCATCGGCGCTGGTGCATCCGTAGTCGGACATTTGCTCAATCTGGCAGGATCCCGCTTCGGCCCACTCAATCTCCGCCAATCCCGCGCTGCCCAGCCCAATCCGGCTGAGTCCAGTACAATTTTGCTTCACGTTCGGGCTCAATCCTGGGCGCAATCCCGGGTTCCATCCAGCCTAAATTGGCTCAGTGCCCCCTTGATATGGCTGAACAGCCTTGAACCGTTCCTACGCGGAGCTCCCAGGAGTTGCTTCCCGAGAGCGTTGAAGGGGCCACAAGCTATAGGAAGTATGGCCACGATAGTCGGGGAGTCGCTTCCTATCCTCGGACGGCTTGTGTGCACCGTACCGCGTTGGCGTCTCCCGATGCGTCGTGGATCCTTGGCCCAAGGACTGGTACGGTGCATAGTCTTTCGGCCCCTCAGAGCCGACAAATTGTGCACCGTACCGCGTTGGAGTGACGCCTGGAGGGAGTCCAGCTGTGATACGGTGCATTGGCCCCGTTCTCGCATTCTAACCTCCGAGGACCTCCCCTCCGAGGTTCTCACGAAGACCCCCCCGAAGACCCCCACCCCCCAGAATGGGAGCAGCAATCACGAAGAGAGCAGAAGGACCCTGAGAGCTGTTTTCTCTCTCTCTCTCTCTCTCGACTCGCCAGTGCCATCGTGGTCGGTCTTTCTCGGACGGGGCCTGCAGGAGGCGCTCCGGCTGGTTCGGTCCGGCGGGAGCTCCCGGCAGCGAGACACCACGGCCCGGCCGAGCACGTCCGCGGCCGCCCGCCTCCGCGCGCGCCTGGCGCAGGTCGAGCTACCTGCGCGCCACCGTCGAGCTCCTCGACGGGGCCGGCGAGGCCGCGGCGGCGCCAGCAGCAGGCGCGCGCGCGGGGGGGCGGCAGCGGGACCTGCGCGCCAACGTTACGTCGGGCCTGTCCCTCTACAGGGGGAAGGTTCAAAAGTAGTCAAAACATAGCCTGGGGACGATTTTTTAAAGAATTTGTTGGCCATTTTGGAATTGGGGTATCCCATTTTTTGCACAACATCCCCCTGCAGGGGGACAGGCCCGACCTAACGCCAACGTCAGGGGGCACAGGCTCTGGGGGGGGGAAGCCCACCCCCCGAGCCCATGCCCTTCCCCCCTGAGCGCCTATCCCATCCGAGGCACCCGGACATGCTCGCGTCCAGGGCCGTCAAAGAACTACCCGGTTGAAGAATTGGTCTTCGGGGGAAGGGTGGGGAATTTCTGGGGAGGAAATTTCAAGGTTCGAGGTTCGAAGTTTCTTCGTCGGTTATCGGCGGCTTTCCAGCCTCGGAATGCCATCCAGCGGCTGCGCCTCTCCGAGAGCGTTCTGGGGGTGATTGGATCGTCCCGAACGGTGGCAGAGGCCCGAGTTGTGGCCCGAGAACCATTCGGATAGGCATCGACCCCCAACCGCTCAAATATCACCGACAGGGGTTCGATGGCCCACCCCGCCCCGGAACGCGGGGGCGTGCCATCGGCAGGCTGACCATCGCCACCTGCCGTCGATGTAGGGCCAAGTCCAGCTCGATGCTGGAATCGTGAGCCACGGGGGGTACGAGACAGGAGTTCTGAGGTCAAACGCTGTTTTGGGAAATGTGCAGTGCCTCCCCTCGAGTTTGGGGGACCTCTGGCTTGTAGCCAAGGCCGTGCCTTCCTGGAGCCAGCGGCGCCCGGTCGGGCCACTGGGGCCCATGCCAGAGCCCACTGCCCAGCCCGGCCCTCTTGGTGGGCCATCCCTGGGCGCACTTGGCGCCCCCCGGGCGCACCCTCCCGAGACGAGAGAACTCCGCGGGGGCCCTCGTCTCGGCAGGTGCGCCGGGGAGCGCAAAGCGGATGCTGGAGGAGGAGGAGGAGGAGGAGGAGGAGGAGGAGGAGGAAGAAGTAGTAGAGGATGAGGAAAGGAGGAGGAGGGGGAGGAGAGGAGAGAGGAGGAGGGAGGAGTGGAGGAGGAGGTGGAGGAGGAGGTGGAGGAGGAGGAGGAGGAGAAATAGGAGGTTGGGGATGGCGGGCCAGGGGAAGGGGGACGGGCGGCATTGCACGCGACTCCTCGCCCGTGGCAGGCGGGGGTCGGCCGGCGCGCGCGTGCTGCGGGTCTCGCTCTGCGCCTTCTCTGCCACAGGGAGGCGTTGCCCTCCCGGCACGCGCGCGCTCGGAGCCACGGCCGGCACGCCCTGCCCCCGTCTCGCCGAGCGCCGGCCACTGCTCGCAAAATAATATGCCGACTCGCAAACGTCAGACCAAAGAACAGGTCTGCCTCGTTTCAAGGGATCGTGAGTCCCCCGCGTCGGATCCAGGCCGTTGTCGAGCAGCTACGCTGCGCGCAGTGGAGCGTGCTTGGCAAAAGTCGAGGTTTCCTAGGGAAAGACAGATGCGTGTCTTCATCCCTTTGTTTCTGCTCCTCCTCCCCCTCCGTGCTCATTCTGTAAGCCTTTTGTAAGGTCTGCGGCCGTGGCCAGACGAGCCGCCGTGCCGCGGCCGTGCCGTGATTCTACGGGCCTGCGCCACACCAGCCGGCCCGTCGGCGTTTCGCGGCAGAGCGTCTCGGGCAGCCACGCACTGTTGGCAGGGGGCAGCGCTTACAAGGGAGCGTGACCAGAAGGGGGGGTGGGGCGGCAGAGAAAACTGTTATCCCGGCAAAGCAACCTAACAGCGATGTGTAGGAGCATATCTGGAAGCATTTCCCTTAGGATTCAGATGAGAATCCAGTTGTAGAATTCTGCTGTTCTCGCAGTCGTAGTCGCATTCGCGATGACAGTCGCAGTGGCAACGGCAGTCGCAGTCACAGCCTCAGCATCAGCCTGCCTCAGCAGCAGCCTCAGCCTCAGCCTCAGCCTCAGCCTCAGCCTCAGCCTCAGCCTCAGCCTCAGCCTCAGCCTGCCTCAGCATCAGCCTGCCTCAGCCTCAGCCTCAGCCTGCCTCAGCCTCAGCCTCAGCCTGCTTCAGCCTGCTTCAGCCTCAGCCTCAGTCTGCCTTCAGCCTCGGCCTCAGCCTCAGCCTGCCTCACCCTCAGCCTGCCTCAGCCTCAGCATCAGCCTGCCTCAGCCTCAGCCGTCCGCACCTCCAGCCTTCAAGTGCTGGCCCAGCCTCACCCAGCCTGCTTCAGCCTCAGCCTCAGTCTGTCCTTCAGCCTCGTCCTCAGCCGCAGCCTGCCGCTGCCTCAGCCTGCATCAGCCTCAGCCTCAGCCTCAGCCTGCCTCCACATCAGCCTGCTCAGCATCAGCATCAGCCTGCCTCAGCCGCGCCTGCTGTCAGCCTCACCCAGTCCTGCCTGCAACCTCGCTCAGCCTCTACCTGCCTCAGCCTGTGCCTGCCTCAGCCTCAGCCTAGCCTCACCTGCCTCAGCATCATCCTAGCCTCAGCCTCAGCCTGGCCTCGGCCTCAGCCTCAGCTGCCTCTGCCGCAGAATCAGCCTACCGCACCCACAGCCTCCGCACATCAGCCTGCCTCAGCCTGCTTCAGCCTCAGCCTCAGCCTCAGCCTGCCTCAGCATCAGCCTGCCTCAGCCTCAGCCTGCCTCTGCCTCAGCCTCAGCCTGCTTCAGCCTCAGCCTCAGTCTGCCTTCAGCCTCGGCCTCAGCCTCAGCCTGCCTCATCCTCAGCCTGCCTCAGCCTCAGCATCAGCCTGCCTCAGCATTCAAAATGTGGCCCGGGAATGGAGTTCTGGGAACTCGAAGAACACGAAGTGGCCTACAGTTGGCTCCGGCATTCAAATCATACGCAGGTGGAGTTCGGGGAACTCGAAACCACGAAGTGCCCTAAGTTTGGCCCGGCATTTCAAAATCAGGAATGGAGTTCTGGGAACTCGAAGACCACGAAGTGGCCTACAGTTGGCTCCGGGCATTCAAAATCATGCCCAGGAATGGAGTTCTGGGAACTCGAAGACCACGAAGTGGCCTACAGTTGGCTCCGGGCATTCAAAATCATGCCCAGGAATGGAGTTCTGGGAGCTCGAAGACCACGAAGTGGCCTACAGTTGGCTCCGGGCATTCAAAATCATGCCCAGGAATGGAGTTCTGGGAACTCGAAGACCACGAAGTGCGTTACTGTTGGCTAAGAATGGAGTCCCCGGTTTCCCGGGGCACCCTGTCCAGATCCCGCCCAGACCCCCCTGGGGAGTCATGATGTTCTCTCTTGAGACCACTAGAAACCTGTCAGTCTTCGCTGTTAGGTAATTACACCAGGAGAAATCAAACCAAATCAGCGGATGGCTCGAGAAGTCGTGATATGGATATCGAGACCGATTGTGAGATCGATGGTGAGACCGATCGTGGGACCGATCGTAAGGACCAAAGTATGGGAACGGGGAACCCGGGAACCCAGGAACCTGGCCGCCTACCGAAATCGGCCCGGCATGTTCGCCAAATCTCTCAATCTCCGCCAGGACCCTTTCAGTGCAAGCACTGATTGGGGAGCAGAGCCGCGGCCCTCACAAGGGCCCCGAGAGGGCCCCCAAGGAGCCCGCGACTGCCCAGGAGTGTCCGAACATGGCCCTCGGTGACCTCAAGACCCAGCGACGGCCTTCGGACGGACCAAGAGGCTCTCTGGGGATCGTCCACGGCTGATGCCGCAGCCCAGAACGCGTATGGTTTGGCCCCACGGGGGGGGGATTTGAGGATTGGCCGATTGTCAGAACCCTGGGGACCTTCAATGTTCGGCGTAATTCCGCGCGGCGCGGGCGTCCGCAAGTCTCATTTTCCTGTCGCCGTGGACGAGGAGTCGCAGGAGAAGGAGGAGGAGGTGGTTGAGACGAAGAGGGCATCATGTTACTTTATAGCGCTCCGACTGTGTAGGAAGCGCTGGAGAGTTCGCGTACTATTCACGAAGCGTACATTCCACTCAGTGGGATAGCAGTTGTTGTGCACCGCGAGATCTGGGGCTCCAGCTGCAGTTGCCTTCATAGGCAAAAGGTTCCTGCCACATCTTCATGGCAGCGGCGCCCGTGGTTCGCCCCACAGCTTCCAGTGCACGTGGGCAAGCCCTCGAGGCGCTCGCCTCCCTGCTACGGCCGCGGGGTCTGCCGCGACGGCTCCACCGAGTCCTGGCGCGGCTGACCCACGGTTCGACGTGACGTTGCCTGAGGTCCGAACGGCGCGGTGCAATCTGAGCACGACCCGATTCGCGGAATGGTGGAATGCCAGTTGCGAGAACGGAGATCGACTTCAGGCATGTTAGCACGGCGTTCAAAGCGAGTCATGAGAGGGGAGGAGGATACTCCTCGAACGCAGTGCTACGCTGGGCACCAGATCCGTGGACAATGGCGAGGCGTTCGCGATGCTGCCGATGAGGTGCATGATGAATGCCTTCTTCATTTCGTTCGTCAAACACAACATGTACTGCGAGGAACAGTTCAACAGCTAGGACGAAACCCCGACGTCAAACGAACGCCTCGGAGCATGTTACCAAGATGGTGGAGGCCATGCAGACAGCAGGGGCCCCGACGCTGTGGCGGAGTTTCGAGATTTCTGGGCAGTTCTTCGCCGTGGTGTGGGCCTGGTCACCTGCGACCGCCCAGGAGAAAAGTTAGATGCAACAACACGCAAAACGACAGTTAGCAGAAATGTATGGGCCGAACAAGGACGTCAACGAGCTGCCGATGCGATACCTGGATCGGGGTATGGAGACGACGGCTCGCACGGTGGATTCAGAGGGTTATATGTTTCGTTCGACCACCAAGTGTGGGGACCCTTTTTCCCAGTTGAACCCACGGAGACATGCAATAACGGCGCGCGCTACAGTGCAACCAATTGGTCAGTTATCAGGAGCCATGGGCAGCGAGTTGTTGTGGGTAAGAACGACATGGATCCATCGTCAGCATGTCCGTACAAGTATCCGATGTTGGAAACTATCCCAATTGGTAATGGACGGGGCAGGGAATCGCATAGTGTTAGGTCAAGACAGTGACGGGCGACCCCACAGTCACTTCGAGCACAATGCAACGGGACAGACAACGACGATGCACGGGACAAAGTGTAACTTCCAGTTTCCCATACGGGCCCTCAAAGGGGTTGCGAGGCAAGATAGGACGTTGCAAGCTGGCGGCGGCGGCGAAACATGTGAGGGTTTTCCCGGGCATGGAACTCACATGGTGGACTTGTTCTACTGAGCCCGAGTGTGCCCATCAGCCCTAGTCGACATTGTTCGTAATGAACCCTGAGAATGACAAAGAAGAGAACGGGGGCAGTGAGTTAAGTGACGTAGAGGATGTTTTTCTTGGTGAAAGGGTTGAAGGACCCAGAAGGACCATCCGCGACCTGAGACCATGCAAGGTCGAATTTGAGCGGCACACCAAAAATTCAATTACCCGGCCGAAGCTGGTGCCCCCGTTGCGCAAGAGGGAAAGCCAGGGGAATATCACGCTAGTAGTTTCAGACGACCACATGCGGCTAAGCGGGAAGAAAAGAATCCGGGAGAACGAACGCAGAGGAGGCGAATCATCACCATGCACTGTCGGGGACACCCAATTATCGCCATGCACTGCCTGGAGCCGAGCTTCACTGACAAATTGCATGGGGCCTCGATCGGTCAAAGTGATTGCTGTGCGATTGTGATCATGTCTGACCAAGGGGTGGTCGTCAATGGCGATCGGGCGTCATCCATTACGGCGCTCAAGGGGGCGGTTCAAACTTCGTTTTGCCTCAGCTTGGGAGTGGAAGTTCGCCCTCATGTGGACTTCCAAGCAAACGGCGAAGTCGAAAGAGCAATCAGAACAGTGGACGGCGAAATCAGGACGTGAAAGGGTGCGTCGGGCTACAGCTGTTACGTAGAGTTTGCAGAAGAGCACTACTTATCCTTTGGTTAGTGGCCTGTGTATTTCCTCTAGCCAACAAGGTTACGATCGAGACTGCTGGCAATGCGGCCAACCTGTTGCCCGAACTCCGAGAATAAATCATGTACCGGAAGATGCCCAAGACAAGAAAACATGAAGCGAATCAAGAGTTGTTCGCCGGCATGTCAGTGGGCGTCGTCAAGTCGCGCAAGTCCAGGCGTAAAGGAAGGGATGACGAGAGGTGGGAAGTGCGTGAAGTTCACAGCGTGGAAGGGTTACCCTGTCAACCATGGCAGCCGGACGCAAACGTGTTCGGAATGGAAATTACGGCTATGGGGCCCACGCGGGGAGGGCATGGGTAAAAAACAACAGTCGGAGAAGACAAAGCTTCGCAGTGCGGAGTGCCGTGCACGTATTTGAGTGGCTCAAAGGGCAAGATGACCCGAACCTCCAAGAGATAGTTGCATTTGTGCAGATGAGGATGGAGACGGGCGGTCCCCAGCAGGGCAAGAATTGGGAATATCCGTTGATAGACAGCTGGATCTTTAAGGATGGGTTCGCCCTTCGACAACACCGCGATCCCATAACCAACATGTATGTGCCTGGAGACATGAGGCTGAAAGTCTCCAAGCGAATGGGTAATGAGGGACGAACACTTGTAAATTATAATGAGGCAGGCGCTATGGAGGATCTGTCCGAGGCTTAGGAGGATCCCCAGCGCTGCTGTCAGCCGCACCAGGTGCCCGCCCCTCCTTTTGTGTCGGCCTTGCCGTTGCCTTTTGCGCGGTCGGTGACGTCGCGCTTGGTCTGGCCCAGGGGCTCCTTGAGCGCTTGCTCCTGCCGGCTCGGTTCAGCTTTAGCGTCGGGCATTGACACGGGTGGTATTTGAGGTCCGTGAGCCTGGGTTTGCGGTCGAGCCGGCTTCTCATTGCCCATACTCCGTTTTTCTTCGCATGGTCCGCCTTGATTTTTGTTGTTTGTCCCGCCATGTCCCGGATTCCCTTCTCCTTGATGCGGACCTGCCTCGTGAGCTCCTGCATGGCCTGCGCATCAGCCCGGGACTTGGTAAGCTGCTGATTCTGCTCATCCTCCAGATCCTGGACGTTTTCGAGGAGAGCATCGTCGAACGTTTAGCCCTCCCCGTCCTTATCCTGGTCGTGGGCGTTGTGCTCCAACGTGTCGCCAGCCAGTGCCAGGGTGTGTTCCGATTGCGCCTCGTGGACCTCCAACGCCGCGTTGTCCATCTCATCCACGAGCTTCCGTGCGACTTTATGCGCTTCAATGAGTTTCTTAGTGATGCCGTTGACCTTACCGTCGCCCTGTTGACAGTGTCCACCGCCTGCTTGAAGACCTTCTCTTGTCAGGATGTCCTGAGTTTCGGCGTGCTCTGAAGGGCGATGGTGCATGTGAGTGAGGAGATCTGCTCCGTGAGGATGGGGTTGCTACCCAATTTCTTGAGCGCCGTGTTAAGCTGGTTCCAAACACCCTCCGCGTAAGTAGCCGCGCGCTGCCTCTTCCACGGTGGAAGGCCGCCCGAATCGTGCTTGCCGCACGTCGTGTTGTAGAGCACAACGTTGGCGTCGCAGTTTCTGCAGTACCCGCTGTTTTGCTTGAGCTTCAGTCGTGGGCCCAGCTGTTGCAATGCTGACAGCGAGTCCACTGGTCAGTCTGCTTCTTCGCTACCCCTATTTGTCACTACTGCGCTGGGTTGGTGAACGAGGGGAAGTGTTGTGCCAGCAGGAGATCACTGAAACACTGGGGCCTGGCCGCAGACTAGCGGTATCCATGTGATCCTGCAGGGGGTCTAAATTTTTTTAGCCAAAATGGCCACGGCAGGAGGAGGAGGAGGAGGAGGAGGAGGAGGAGGAGGAGGAGGAGGCGGAGGAGCTCCCCCTACCCGTCGTCAGGCGCGCAGGCCACCGCGGCGGCCGCCGCGACCCGTGCCGAGGAGGAGGGCTGCCCCGAACTGCGCGCGCTGCGCGGGTCCCTGCACCAGGTGCGCGGCGCAAAAAGGGGGGTCGCCTGCACGGACACTGGCGCGCAAGTTGCCCGCGCAAGGTCGCGAGTGAGCGTCCTGGTTTCCAGTGTGGCGTGCCGCGCCGGCGACACGCGCACGCCACCACGCAGGGTCGCTGTGCCATCTCGCTGAAGGCTCTCTCATTCTCGTGGCGCAGGTGCGCGCGCTGCAGGCGCGGCTCCGCGAGGAGGCGCAGCTGCGGCCGTGCCGCTGGGAGGAGCAGGGCATCTGGGCGGTGTGCGACGCCTGGCGCGAGTTCGCCGAGGCCCCGATGAGGAAACGGTACGGACACTACGGCCACCCTTGCTTCGTTTCCGCCGTTACAGCCAAGACGCTGAAATAAGGAACAGTCTGGACTCGGAAGGGGCTCGATGTTCCTTGCGTCCTTCCGTGGCTGTTCCTCTAGCCCTGCTCGTGCACCTAGGCTTTTCTGAAGCCGCAGAGGGGCTCCGTTCCTTACTTAGCGTTCCTTGTTTCAGCAGCCCGACTGCGTGAGCCTCCCGGGGGGGTCCTCGTCGCCGCGGGGCCGGGCTCGCCTCGGAGGCCTGGTCAGAGCGCTCCCCCGGGAGAGGTCCGGGGAGCCGCGGTGCGGGTGCCTCCTCGGCCTCCCCCGAGGCGCGGCTGCGGCGGCAGTGCCGCAGGCAGCTGGAGCGCGTGGTCGAGCGGTGGGGGGAGCGCTGCCCCGACGGGTACCGGACCGTCCGGCAGGGGAGGGGCTCGTACCCCGTGGGGGTCAGCCAGGAGATGGGGCGGCTCCGCGACGCCTTCGCCGCGCGGCGTGCCGAGCTGGGCCTGCTGCTGCAGCGGGTGCTCGAGGGCCCGGACCTGCGCTCGCAGGCGCAGGCGATGCGCGCGATTGTGGAGCACGAGCACAAGCGGCTTCTGGCTAAGAAGGCCCTCGCCGGCATCGCCGAGCAGTAGCCAGGCCGTCGCACGTTCTCCGGTATCGCCATGCGTGCTCGTCCATGGGGGGCGTTCCGCTGCAGTAGTCGCTGCGCTTCAGCATGTCGCTATTGTATGCTGTTCTACCATTTCGCAAGGGCGTGGAGCTTGGTACATCGTTGTTTTACTGTCTCGCAGTGGCACACGTCCTCTCTGTGGGTGCAGCGCAGTCTCTGATTACCAGGCTGAGCACAAACTTTTTATCCAAGGGGGTCCACGAACCATTGAACATGGCGCGGACTCAGGCTGTCCGTGTTAACTCGCGAGCACGGGGATGCAATTGGCAGCCCCAGATTGTCGCTTGGCTGTGACATCCAGCTGATCTCCTTGCTCCGACTTGTGTGTTCCACAGCCGCCGTTTCCTTCCGTGCCTCTGCTCGTGGCCTCACGGCCTGTTCCACAGAGACCATCTTCTGGGCCCAAAACACGCATTGCACCTCTGCCTCTCACCTTGCGATTGCACGGTTCAAGTTCTTGACGCACGGTAAGGCGAACCTCGACGACGACGACGACGACGACGACGACAACGACCCCTCGGGGGCAGCTTTGTACCTGCCTGGGCGAGAGGCAATTGGTCAAAGCCGTACTGGCCCGCATGCCAAAGCCGCCGTCAGTCTCCCCTGCCAGGGGGGGGGGGAATAAGTGCAGGAGGGCGATGATGACCATGAACAGAAGAAACAAAAAGGAGGACGTTCGGAAATAGGAGCAGAACGAGGTCAAGGAGGAGCGTAAGAACAGGGGCAATGGGGCAGGGGAAGAGTATGTAAGGAGGTGGTGTGGGAGAAGGAGGAGCAGGAGAAGGGAGGAGAAGCATAAGGGAGGCGGAGGAGAGGGGGTCTTGAGATTTTAGCGTCTTGGGGCGGGGGGCCCTGCCTGTGCTCCGGGACCGTCTGAAATCGATTCAAGGTGAACATTTTGTCCCGCCGGATGTCCACTGGTATCCATATCCCATGTCATCCAGCATTGCAGCATTGCCCTACCTCATAATATTTGTTCCTCGCGGGGTCACGCTCGTACTTTTTGTGTACAGGCACCCTGCTGGAAAAACAGTGCACGCCCCTCGCCATTCCATTGCCATGTTGGCGCAAGACAGCACTGTTGCTGGTTGTTGTTCTTAAGGATTGTTCAGCGAGGGGATGGGGCGGTGGGCAAGAACTGTTATTGGTTGTAGTGCTCTCTTGCCGGAGGACGCTGCCAAAGAGGACAAACCAGAGTCCTGCCCATCGGCCCTCCAAGCGCAGGCTTCCTCTCATATTGTCTGCCGGTATATCTGGAAAGACGTGGAACGAACAGCCACCTTCCCATCAGAATGTGCCGATGATGTCGCGGGCCCAATGCCTTCGGCTCCCTCTGGTGGCCTTCGGGACTACGAGGACAAGCTCAAGGCCATCGACCTGAGCCAGCAAGGGCTCGACGTCGCAGGTATTGCACAGCAGCTCGGCCGGTCCTCGCACTGGGTGAGGCGCTGGTGGAAACAAGACCCTCTTCGGATACCGAAGCCAGACGTTCGACACAGTCCACTGGTGCGCAATGCCCCGCTGCAGTCATTCAGAGACCTTGAGCTTCACAGAGGGTTTGTTCGTCCTGCTGATAAGGCGGAAGGACAGGTGCCCTTGCATGAAGAGCTAACGTCTCTGCTGAAGTGGGAGCCGGCAAGGCGAGCAACACGTCACCCTGAGACTGGGGATCTCCGCGTACGATTCGATGCCACAGGCAACAGCATTAGCCAACCGGGGAGGTTCGTGGCAGAGTACAAAGGTGGGGCGTCGCGTTTAGATGCTCTGCTTCAGCGTGTGGCTACAGTCGCGAACATCCATGACCCAGCATCGCGGGTATTCTTGAATCGATATGAGGATGGATGCGCGACGTGCCCTTCACATCGGCATGATTTTTGGACGGCGATGCTTTCTTTCGGGGAGGCCAGGGTAGCTATTGTGGAGGAGCGTCCTCTCCTGCTGCGTCACGGCGATTTGCTAGTTTTTGGAACTCAGTCTCATGGAAGCCCGGCAATGCCTGATGTCGTTGGAAGAAGAGTTTCCGTTGTTGTATTCTTCCGGCCAGACGCAAGCAATCTTGAACGTCGATGGCAAACCTTCGATCAGCCAGGGGAAGACCACCATCTTGATGAGGGTATCGATGCGCGGTCTCCAGAAGCTTGCAGACCCTTGTGCCGAGCACTCGTTGATTCTGAGCTATGCGGATGCCCTGGAATATCACTGGGCTTGATCGCACGCCGCGAGACATTCGTCCGAGCTCATGTGACAATATTTACCATCGGGTGTGGATCGCTAGGCGAGAAGATGTTTTTCGAGCGCCTCAGTCACGCAAAAGTGACAGAGATATGGGATGTACGTCCACTCGGTGTCGCTGCGCACCGCTGCTCGTCACATTGGCATCCCGATGAGCTTCGGCGCGCTTGCGCCAGGCGGCTTCTCAAGTACAAGCAGGTACCTCTTGGTCAAATTGCCGCAGGTGGCATTCATAGGCACATCGCTAGCGAAGAAGGACAAGATGTACTCGCTAGGATCGTCCTCGCGGCTGAGGCGGGCAGTGTTGTGACAGTCATGGGGCAGGCAGAGGATTGGCAAGAATGCGATCGTAAAGTCTTAGCCGAAGTGCTTGCTTCTGGTCGGTTTGGTCCTGTGTCCATCGTTCACATTTTGTCGAAGGGGCTAGAGACTGTTTTGCTTGGTCATCCTCCTTCGCCAGTGGTGGAACGAAGGCATGGTGCCGAACCAACAATGTCCGGCGCAGGTTGTATGCCTGATGGTACCGATGCTGACAGAGGTCCAAGCAGTAGGTGGTGTCGGCGGAGCCGTGCGGTATCCTGCAAGGCCTAGCGCTTACCGTGCGGCGGAGCCCACTCGGCCGATTTGTGCGACGCAGTCATGCTGGCGTGGCCGTGCGTCGGCGAGGTGGCGGACACTGTGTGACGGAGCCGTGTAGGCTGAGCCACGTTGGCGGAGTTGCACGATATTGTTCTCCCCACGGTGGAGCACATTCTGCGGAGCGCTGCGCCTCGTCGCCGTTGTCACCGTCCATCGCCAGTACCACATCAATTTCCCCAGCTTCATCCATGTGCGCATCTGCTTATAATCCGCGCACCCCTTCTGCCCCTGCTGTTATCGCACACATAGTACGTTGATTTGCGCAGCCCGCAATTCCATTGTAGTGGGGAGGAGTGTGTTACCAGTGGTGTCGAAATCTTGTTGGCTTGTTCTGTTCAGGCCATGGGGTGAGGATATGACGTTGGCAGTTTTAGGCCAGGCGGGTTAAGTTAGTTTGCTCGCAATTTCTGGTAGCGGGGCGTGACAAAATCGTGCTGGCGGTCTTGGGCAAGTGGTGACGATATGCTGTTGGCAGTTTTAGTCCAGGGGGGGGGGATGCGTGTTGACGGCAGTTCTAGGCCAGAGGCCAGGGTGGTGAGGATATGCACTTGCTGGCCATTTAGGTCACTTGGGTGAGGATGCGTTGTTGGCATGTGGTGGGGATGTCTTGCTGGTGCTCTCACGCACGGGGTGAAGACATATCCCCAGTGGTGTTGGGCCCCCTGGGGGTCGAACACAGTCTACAGGCAGTAACGCAGTCTGCAGGCAGCGTGTGGCCAGCGGGGTGAGTCTATGGTGCCAGCAGTTTCGGGGCGCAGGGGATCACGATGCCGAGGGAGTTGCCGCGGAAGAAGCCATTGCCACTGATGTCCGCGAGTGGATGCGCAACCTCCCTTTGCCGCGGCATTCAGTATGAGCCTGACGAGGAGGTCAAGGAGCGAGACGCGTTGCATCGCGTGTTCGTAGCCTCGGTTCTACTTTGTGTTCCAACCACCCTTCCCCGATCTCCATGTGATCCCCGCATCACGCCACGTACTGCTAGATGTCGCCGTCTAGCACGCACACAGAGAAATTGCAATGGCCAATGCCCACCCTGTTGTCGGATCGCGGGTCTCATGTAAAGCTGAGTCGAAGCCGCAGTCTGCTCGGCATGGCTCTTGGCACTTGCACGACCTAAGGATGGCAAGGAAGACGATGACGTGTTGATTGGCTGCTTCTTCAAGGCAGATGCTGAAAACGTGTGCCAAGGATCTGCTTTGAGGGAGCCATTTTCAAGAGTGCTTGGCTCGGCGAGGGAAAAGAAGGCGCCTGTCACAGCATGAAACTATCAGCGGGGCGGCAGAGGAGGAGGTGGTGTGAGGAGAAGGAGGAGGAGGAGGAGGAGGAGCAGGAGGAGGAGGAGGAGGAGGAGGAGGAAGATGAGGGCGTGGAAGAGGAGGGTGAGGAGGAGAAAGAAGGGGAGAGAGAGGAGGTGGAGGACGAGTCTCCATATCGACCGACACCGTTGGCCGAAGTACTTACCCGAGGACCCCAAGGACATGACCAAGCCTAGAAATATTCTTTGGACCGGACGTAGTCATCGGGTCCGCACCCGTAGTTCGTGTCTGGAGATGATATGCATGCGTTCCTGGTTGCAGTCTGCTGCTGGTGGTCGGAAGCTGGCAAGAAGGGAGGGCAGACGCGACACCGTCCAGGAAATCAGTCATATGCTTGGCCGTATCCTGACTCCGAGTGTATTCGCGGTCGTCTTTTTTTCCGAGGGTAGCGGTGGGAGGTGCAAGCTGTCGTGTCGACGTCTTGCGGCCAGAGATGCGGGGCTCCTGGATGGCACGTCAATCCTGCAGGTTGCCCTGCTGTCTGCAGCCGTGCGGCTCGTGCAGTACGACCGCCAGACCCCGAGATGCCGCGTGCCGAGGAGGAGGACCGGGCCGGGGCAGGCTCGACTGCAACGTTGGGGGAGAATCGGAGAAGAACCAGTTGCATACTCAAACATGTCTGGAACTCCGCGTGGAGGGGCGGCCCTGGAGGCGCTGCCAGGGGGTCCCAGCGCCGATCCAAGAAGTCCGCGCGGTCCTCCAACAGTTTATGTGTACGCTTTTTTTGATGTCGGGAGAGGAGGCAGGGGCCCGAGGGCGGCGGTCGTGGCCTGCGAGCCACCCTTCGTGCAGACGCGCTCTCCGCCGCTCCTCCTGGCTCGAGGCGGAGCAGCCCAGGCGGCCCGGCGGAACGCGCATCTCTGCCGCCGCCAGTTTCGCCGAGGGTGTCTGGGAGGGCCCGCCCGTACAGTCGGACCGAGGGCTAAGATCGAGGTCGGTTCGGGGAGGGTGCCCTGGTGCTTTTCGTGTCTGTTGGACGTCCGCCCTCGAGTGATCCCAGGGTTTTGGGGTGGTTGGGCCGTCGGAGGGTCGCATGTTTTTGAAGGATGTCCTTCTGGCCTGGGTCCGACTGTAAGCTTTGACCGTCGAGTTCGCTAGCCCTTCAGGTGAGGCTGCGGTACTGGTGCCGCTGCTCGTCCTGGAAAGCCCTCGTCGCCTCGTCTGGACTCTCTTCGAACTCCTGGTCAGAGCGCACCCCAGGAGAGGTCCATAGGGCATCGGCATCGGGGCACGTTCGTTTCCCTGATTCCGGGTGACGCAGGCTCGTACGCCCAGTCGCCGATCCTGGCCGGGTCAAGCTCTGGCCCAGCGCTCCTGGCCAAGCTGGGGGGGCGTGTGCACGTCCCTTAGGCGCAGGAAGGGCCCGGCCAGGATGTACAGGTGTCTGTCAAGGGGCCCAAGGACACGTAAATAAATACACAATTAAAACGATTCCCCATAATATTTTCCTACATTTTCTTGGTTTTTGTCTTCCCCCCACTTCCCATATTTCCTATATTTTCTGGGGAATCGACGATTAATAGTGTCTGTGTGCTTTTTTCCCTCCAGAGTCTGGTCGGCGTCCTCTATTCAAAGCGTACCGATCCGGACCTTCATGCCATCCACCGCCTGTCCTGCATGCCTTTCCGCTGCCGGCTGGCGTGCGCTGGTAGCGGGGATGCACGGCGCCCTGAAGCGGGGCCGATGCCGTGCTCTTCCCGTGCTCGCGCTCGGCCTTCTCCCAGGGGAGGATCAAACGCGTCCGTCTGTCAAACCCAGAGCTCGGAACTCGGTCTACTGCTCGAACTAGGTCCGCGGAACTATTGTATTATTCGAGTCGCGCCCGCCTGTCGCATTCAGAGGTCTGAACTCGGTTTGATACTCGAGCTGGGTTGCCAAACTGTTTGTTTCTTGTTAGAGTCATCTTGAGAGGTGAACGTGTATCCCCCGCCGCCAGGGGGGGCACGCTTCCGAGCGTGCCCGCCCCGCGCCTCAGAGCAGGCGTGCAGCCAAGACGCTGCGGCAAGGACCCTTTTGGGGTGAGGGCGGGCTCCAGCTTTCGGGCCGTCCCTCCTAGGTCTAGATTTTAATCGGGCCTGTCCCTGTACAGGAGGGAATCTTCAAAACAGTGAACCAAATAGTCGGGGGGTATTTTTCTGACTATTCTTCAGTTTTCGTCCAAGATCCGCCTGCAGGGGGGCACGCCCGACCTAAGTCTAGATGGGGGAACCCGTCCTTGGCCGAGGCTCGCCGTGACCAGACCCGCCCTTCCGCCCCTTACTCGGCCCTCCTCCTGGTAGCACGACGGCTGCGTGCTCGCGAGCGCCAGGGCCCCTCCTGGAGGCAGGACTCGAGCTGAACGATGTTCTGGCAATTTCGTGGGCCGGTTTCGTTTGGACTCCGTTTTGCAGCACATGTGGAAAGAAGACAGAACTAGGGAGGACGAAACCAAAACGGCAACGGAAAGCACTGCTTCACTCGAGCCCTGCCTGGAGGCCCCCTAGCCCTCACGGGATCGCCTCCCCGGGCCGCCCCGCCTCGTCGTCTGTAGGGGCCTAGAAGACGGGGGTCAGTGCAAACGGGGGTCAGCCAGGGCACTGGATCCTGCAGGATCCTGCGAAGATCCCCTTCTGGCTGACCTGGGTTAGCGAGCCGCTCGTGGCCGCGAGGCGGCCGCGCCTATTGGCTGACCCGGGTTTGCAAAGAACTGCGCTGCAGTTTTTTTTCTTGCATTGCAGTTTTTGGTTTCCTGCTGACCTGGGTCTGGATTGACCCGGGTAAGAAGATCCCCGAGTCTGCCTGCGCGCCGCCGGGGCCAGGCTCCCACCGCGCGCTCCTGGGCGCCGCGGCCTCGCGCGCAGCGGCGGGCTCCGAGCGCCGCGGCCTCGCGCGCAGCGGCGGCGGCGAGCCACGGCGCAGGGGCCTCTTTGTCCACCCTTTCCGAGGAAGTCTTTCGCACATGGAAGCGGTGGCAAGAGAAACTCAGGAGAGGAAAAATCACACAGGCACAATTGAATTCTCGATTCCTCGGAAAATATAAGGAAATATGGGAAATTGTGGGGAATCTGTTTATTTGTGTGTATTTATTTGTGTGTTCTGGGGCCCCTTGAGAAACGGCAGCCCGCAACGGCGGCACACGTCTCCGGAGCCGGAGGCCGGCACCGGGAAGCGGCGCCGAGGCCGGCAGGGAGCCCCGGAGCGAGACGGGCGCCACACGAGTGGCCGTGTCGCTTCCGAGGCCCAAGAGGGCGACGGGGCGGGAAGAGTCAAGCCGTTCGAGAGAGGGAGGGAGAAAGAGAAAGACCCCTCAGAAGACGGGGCAGGGCTCCAGATATGGATCAATCCTGCCATGCGCATTCAGCGGGCGCAAAGCGGTATACAACAAACTTTTCCGTCGCCGGGGGCGCTGCCCCAGGGCGGCTGGAAAGTTTATACCTTGACGTGCCCCCGTAAAGGTATAAACTTTCCAGCCGCCCTGGGACAGGCGCCCCCGACAGCGAAACATTTAATTCAATCGCTTCGCTCATTCCGTCGGCCCATATTGCCCTGCCGCTTGGGGGCCGTGATGGGGCTTCTTGGGTGCCTCTGGTAGGCAGTTTTGAGTCCTCTTGGGAGCCTTGTTGGGGCCTTTGTGGGCCTCTTGGGGGCCTCTTGAGGCTTCTTGGGGTGCCTCTTGGGGGCCCCTTGGGGCCACTTGGGGGCCTCTTGGGGCCTCCTGGGGGCATCTTGGGGCTGAAAGCTGGACTTTTCGGTTCCTGGTCCCGTCTTGGGCCTCTCTTGGGGCCGTTTTGGGGCCATCTTGGGCGCCTCTTAGGCTGTTTTTGGAGCCATCTTGGGCCGTCTTGGGGCCCTCTTGGAGGCTTGTTGGGTCGTCTTGGGGCGGTCTTGGCGGCCTCTTGGGCCGTCTTCGAACGTTGGAAAGGTGAAAAGACGAGAAAGGTCGCAAATGCGGAAAATGTATGTTTGGCGAAGGGAATGGGGCGATTTTTGCTTGTTGGGGCCTTCGTGGAGAGCCTCTTGAGGCTGTCTTGACGTCTTGGCGGCCTCCTAGGCAGTCGTGGGACCATCTTGGGCATCGTCGGCCGATCTTTCGAGGACTCCAAGGGCTCTTGGACCGTCTGGGCGTTCTCTTGAGGCCGTCTTGGGCGCCTCTTGGGCTGTCTGGGGGGCCTCCGGCATCTCTGGCGGGCACTTGCTAGGACTCTGGCGGGGTATTTGTCGCGCCGGGGCCCCCAGGGGCCGCCTCGCGGGCGCGAACTTGTCATATTGTGAACCTGTTACCGAAGATCTTCGCACGCCTCTGGCCCGCTGGGCCGGCGAATCTCATACCGCTCTTCGCCCGTCAACGCATGCCCGGGCATGAGCAGCGTCGGGGGGTGGGCGAGGAACAGAGCAGCACGCGGCCAGAGAGGAGCGGCGAGGAGCGCCGCAGTGCCGCCCCGGTGGGCGCGGGCGGGGAGCAGGGCGGCAGAGCGGGCAAGGGGCCCGGCGGCCGGCAGGGCACCAAGCACACGCACAGGTTTTGGGCGGATGTCAGCTCCCGGGGTCCAGGTGGGCTTGGCATCGCTCGGACGTGTGCATTTTTCCTTCGGCGAGGACCATCGAGAAGTATGCTAGATCATTTGGCGAAAACCCACGCACGAAGCCGAAAAAACAAAGGGAATGGACGTCCGAGCGATGGCCAGTGGGGCGGCGTTCCCCTTCCTCCCATCCTGTTCGTCCCAGGGTTCAGCGAGAGAGAGAGAGAGAGAGAGAGAGAGCGAGGGGTTGGGCAAGCTCCAGGTCCAGGGTGCGCTCGCGCCAGGCCTTGCATCCTGTCCCTCCCTCCCTCCCATCGCTTCTCACTGCGCAGGTGTTTTTCCTCTCTCGCGCGCGTGTGCTAGCCGACCGGGAGCTCCAACAAAAAGACCCCATCTTGCTGTGCGCAATCGGAGAAGGGGGAGCTGGGTACATAGGAAGAGGAGGTGGCGGTTGAGCTGGGGAGACAGGATGAGGATGTGGAAGGACTGGGACGAGGACGAACGACAGCAGCAGGAATTGGAGTGCAAGCAGTGGGAGGAGCAGGAGGACCAGGGGAAGGCGAAGGAGGGGAAATGAGGGGGGCGACAACGATGGTAATGATCTGATCCAGAAAAGTAGCCCACGCTGGGGCGAGAAGGCCACCTTGGACGACTGGGAGCAGAGCGCCGATTCGAAAATGAGGCCCACGCTGCAGCTGGAGAGTCACCTTGAAACGCCGAGAACAATCGGATGTAACCAAGAACAAAGGGCACAGGAAATACGTCTTTGCCAAGTTCTGTGTTTGAAGACCAGTACGCGAAAGGAATCGGCTTTCTTCCAGACAGAGTCAGGGGGAGAGTGGAGAGTGGTGCGTACTCATCATTTGCAACCGTTTAGGAGAGAGGGGAGGAGGCCGGAGGCCAGCATTTCAGGGAAAAGCGTTTGCCCTGAACAGCGATTGTTGAAGGGTGCTCTGCAGTCGCAGGAGGTGTGCCGCAGTGGTGGAACACGAGCGCGAGACCGACTCTGGACGTGATCCGCGTGGTCCACGTGCGCCGCAGGGGGTGGGAGACGCAGCCTCGCTCCGGCGCACCCGCGCGTAGTCCGTGCGCCCTGTTTTGGGTGGCCGTCGCATGCGGGAGAGCTGTCCGTGTGCTTCCCCGTGAGCCCCGTGTGTGCCGACTGCCCCTGGGCTCAGTCCGTGTATTGCTGGCACAGTTCCGTTGCACTGTATGTTGGGCTGATCGTTGTTTCTTGAGTCCCTTTTTTTTTGTGTGTGTGTGAAGTCCGCTCATACCACCATTGTATACTTCTCTACCGCCGACGTTTCGGCTCAGGTATTAGTACTGGGTGCCGCGCCGCTCCTGCCGCGGCGCACAGGGAAAAAATGGCTCGCGACCTTCTCCCTGACCTTCCTCGACCTACGGGAAACACAGTAGGTTCGACTCTTTGGTCGTTAACTTGCTTCCACACTTTTCAGCGGCAGCATTCGAAGTGCTGCCAGATTTGCCTCTTGGCACACGCGTGGTTCGGAGGGCCCTGCCGCGACGGAGCGTATTTTTCCAGCCGCAGCTTGACTTGCAGGTTCGTCACGTGGCGTGAGTGCGCTTCGTGATGTTGCACGTAGCCCCAATACTGGTTCCCATGGCGGTTCTTGTGGGAGGCTTTACAGGTGCGGCTTCCTCTGCCAGGCGAATTTCATCCAGACCACAGCATCCGCCACCGTGAAGCACCGCGACGTCGTCAACAACAACACGATCAGAGCTCTCGACCGTCTCTGTGTGCTGCATGCTTCGAGCCAGGTCGATCCGCGTGGGCCCTGGGGCCCGAAGTGGGACAACAAATCGCGTGTCGTGATTGTCGTGCGCGGCGCTCGGCTCTGATGAGGAGGCTGAGACCTGTGGTTGTTTTCCGTCGCGCGTGCCCACAGGTGGGCGGGAGAGTCCTGGCGGCGATGTTGCTGGCGCCGTGCATGACTCCCGGCCATGGACAGGTCCGGGGTGCTTCCCCAACCCCTCCATGGAGGGGGGCTGGGAGGGAGGGCGAATGATGGAGGAAGGAGGCGGGAGAGGAGGGAGGAACCGGAGAAGGATGAGGGTGTTCTCATGTCACGTGTGCTTTGCATTCTGACAGGATCAATCTCAAAAGCCGCTCGCGCATCGCAGCAAACAGGGGGAGAAGAGCAGGAAGAAATGAGTATTGGGAAGCATGAGGAGATCATGGGAAATGGAAAGTGTGTCCCCGCCCTCTGTCGTCTTGTCGCACTTCCTATTATTAGTCTCCCTCTGCCCTCGTCTGTTCTCCATCATCGCTCCTCCCTCGACCACTATACAATATGAATACTGTTCTCCTTTTCCCCCGGAAGATGATAGATAAGTGGCCCGCCCACCTCCGCGTGTTGCTTTCTTACACGCAGGATTTCAGACATTGGTCTTTCTTATGTTTTTTGTTGCAGTCCGATTGCTTTCGGTGTTTCAAAACGGTGCTCCCGCTGCAGCGTGGGCCTCGTTTTCAGATCGGCGCTTTGCTCCCGTCGTTCAGAATGGCGCTCTCGCCCCAGCCTGGGCAACTTTTTTGGATCCGAGTCTTGCTTCACTGTGGCCCCCGTCCTCATTCCCCTCCTCCGCCCTCCCCTGGTCCTCCTGTTTCTCCCGCTCCTTCCACCCCAGCTCCTGCTGCTGCTCGTCGCGCCCCATCGCGGCCCTCATTTCCCCTCCTCCGCCTTCCCCTGACCCTCCTGTTCCTCCCTATCCTTCCGCTTTAGTTCCTGCTGCTGCTGTTCGTCATCATCCTTTTCCTCCCGCTCATCCCCCTGCTCACCTGCCACCTCCCCCTCCTGCGCATGCAGCTCCCATGTGTTCCGATGTTCCGATTGTGCACAACAGGAAGCGGTACTTCTGTGGGAGTCGCAGGTCGGCTATGATACGCGTCCGCGGATCAATGACAAATGAGCGCCATGGGAAGTGATGGGAGGGAGGGATCGGATGTCAGATGAGGCGCGAGCGTACCTAGCTAGCCCCACCCACCTCTCTCTGCCTCCGTTCGTGCCCCTATTTCCTCCTGCACCTCCCTCATCCCTGCCCCCGCCCCTGATCCTGAGGAACCAGTCTTCAGACTGTACCAACAGGCGTCTCGTTGGACGGGCCGGGCATTTCGCTGGAAACGGCTTTGACAGTTCCTGATGTAAGATACGGCTCAACATTCCGTAGCCAGGGCGATCAAGGGCTGCGCGGTTTCTAAATCGCGCTCCTTCGATGCCCCGCAGCGTGCACTCGCGGGGCGAAGTCCCCCGCCGCCGAGCGCATGGAGAGCGGCATGCTGTTCATCGGTAGGTGATTCGTCGCATCCCGCCGTCCTGGATGATTTGGCATCGGGCCCGACACGCCGGCACGGGTGGAGCCGCTCGATCTCTCTCTCTCTCTCTCTCTCTCTCTCTCTCACACACGCACGCACACACACACACCGTTCTCGCATGAGGGAGGGAGGCTCTCTCATGATCTGGCCACCCTGGGTGAGAGGCGGATGCACATGTGTGCGAGGCTGGGATGTCTGCATATCCACCGCCTGGGGAACCGATCGCCCTGGACTTCGGGAGGCCGTGGATTCAGATACACTCATCGGTCGTTGAAAGTAGAAATTCTTCACGCTTCGCGTATCCCCACCAGCCCATCTCAAAACAGCAACTCTTGCGAAGCATGCCGACAGTCGTGTTTTTCAGGCGTGTTTCCGCCTGCCCCCGCATATCTCCCCTGTTCCTCCTTCCTCCCGCCTCCTTGTACATCCTCCTTGTGGTGGGAGCGGGAGAAGGACGAGGCGGAGGAGGAGGGAGAGAAAGCGCTCCTCGTGGTTTGAGTCGTTTGGGGTTTCTCGTCCTGGTGTGAGTCGTTCGGGCCCTTCTTCCTGGTGTGAGTCGTTCGGGCTCTTCGTGGTGTGAGTCGTTCGGGCTCTTCGTCCTGGTGTGAGTCGTTCGGGCTTCTCGTGGTGTGAGTTGTTCGGGCCCCTCGTCCTGGTGTGAGTCGTTCGGGCCCCTCCTCCTGGTGTGACTCGTTCGGGCTCCTCGTGGTGTGAGTCGTTCGGGGCCCGCGTCGTGGTGTGAGTCGTTCGGGCTCCTCGTGGTGTGAGTCGTTCGGGCGCCTCGTCCTGGTGTGAGTCGTTCGGGCCCCTCCTTCTGGTGTGAGTCGTTCGGGCTCTTCGTGGTGTGAGTCGTTCGGGCCCCTCGTCCGTCGCGTGAGGCGTTCGGGCACCTCGTCCTGGTGCAAGTCGTTCGGGCCCCTCGTAGTAGTAGTAGTAGTAGTAGTAGTAGTAGTAGTAGTAGTAGTAGTAGTAGTAGTAGTAGTAGTAGTAGTAGTAGTAGTAGTAGTAGTAGTAGTAGTAGTAGTAGTAGTAGTAGTAGTAGTAGTAGTAGTAGTAGTAGTAGTAGTAGTAGTAGTAGTAGTAGTAGTCGTAGTAGTAGTAGTAGTAGTAGTAGTAGTAGCAGTAGTAGTAGTAGCAGTAGCAGTAGTAGTAGTAGTAGTAGTAGTAGTAGTAGTAGTAGTAGTAGTAGTAGTAGTAGTAGTAGTAGTAGTAAGTAGTCGTAGTCGTAGTAGTAGTAGTAGTAGTAGTAGTAGTAGTAGTAGTAGTAGTAGTAGTAGTAGTAGTAGTAGTAGTAGTAGTAGTAGTAGTAGTAGTAGTAGTAGTAGTAGTAGTAGTAGTAGTAGTAGTAGTAGTAGTAGTAGTAGTAGTAGTAGTAGTAGTAGTAGTAGTAGTAGTAGTAGTAGTAGTAGTAGTAGTAGTAGATGTCTTTGGGGAGCCTCTTGGAGGCCTTTTGGGGCGTCTTGGGGGCCTCTTGGCGGCCCCAGGGGCTTCTAGGAGCGTCTTGGGTGCCTTAGGGGGAGCCTCTTCGGGCCTCTTGGGAGCCTCTTGGAGGCCGTTTGGGGCGTCTTGGGGGCCTCTTGGCGGCCCCAGGGGCTTCCAGGAGCGTCTTGGGTGCCTCGGGGGAGCCTCTTGGGGCCTCTTCGGGGCCTCTTGGGGGCATCTTGGGGGCCTCTTGGAGGCCCTTTGGGGCCTCTTGGGGCTCTTTGGGAGGGGTCCGGGAGGTATCTTGGGGCCATCTTTCGGGCGATCGATCACAGCTGGGGCGAGCATTTTTGTCAGTACCTCATCGGTCGTTGAAAGTAGAAATTTCTGGATTCCCAGATCCCAATCTACTTCACGCGCCTTCCTACGTTAATAATCGGCCTGCTTCTGCTGCGTTGTGTTGCTTTCTGAGGGGGCCTGAACACAGTCTGCTCCATCCGCCCTCCTACTTCATGCTTCTACCTCCTTCTTCCTGCCAGAGTGCACTTGGGTCCCACGGGGGGCCCAAACATGTGCACCTCCACCGCCCGTTTGGGTCCCGGGACAGATCTTTTTCCGGCAGGCGGCGGGTGTACCAAGGAGTCCCCGCCCCCCCAATGTGGCATGCGCAGCTCCTCCGGCCCTCGGCCTCCGCGTGTGGCCGGAGGTGCGCCGTGCCCTCGGGCAGTGTGCAGACTGCGCTCGGCCTCCGCTCGGCCACGCGCAGAGGAGGGGGCGGCAGGGAGAGGGGGGACGGCTTCCCGCGGGCCTTCTCTAGGATGTGAGGCCAACGCCCTTCTAAGCAGCAACCTCCTTCTATCAGCGAGCGAAGAACGGTATAACATCGACTTTTTCGCTGTCGGGGGCGCCTGTCCCTGGGCGGCTGGAAAGGTTATACCCCTACGGTGCCACCGTAAGGGTTGAAATTTTCCAGCCGCCCAGGGACAGGCGCCCCCGACAGCGAAAAAGTTTATCTTATACAGTTCTTCGCCCGTTAATTCTAAGAAGCCTTCCCCCCTCCCGCTACCCCCTTGCTCGCGCCGCCGGCCCGCGTGCCCCGCAATGCACGCAGCAAATCTGGTCGCGAGCTGCGGCTTCGCGGGCGGAAGGCAGTCGGGTCTCTCGGTCGCGCCGCCGTCTCGGTGCGCCGCGCGCTCCTCGTGCAGGGCGTGCCTGTCAGCAGCGGGGGGGTTTGGGGGATGGCTGTGCAGGAAGCACATGGGCACGAGGGGGGCAGTCGAGCCTCAGCGTGAACTGTGTGGTAATCGATGCACTGTCGGGTGCGTCCTGTTCTGCGACTCCGCGCGGGAGGGCGCAGTCATCACGGCGACTTCGGCGAAGCTCCTGACCTTTTCGAAACCTCGGTCGAAGACCATCTTCTCATTGTGGGGAGAGTCCTCAGGAGTGTCCTTCGTGGGCCTCAAGGGAGCTTGATCATCTTCAACCTTCACCTCCCTCTTTGCACAGGTGTTGTTCAATGCTTACAGCGTGATTTTCAGCGGCACCAGCCTGGAGGGTCTCAATTTCAAGCTTATGTTCTTTTCATCGGCGGTTGGAGCTCTGTGCTGGAGGAGGAGGTTTCGCGGGGGCGGTGGAGGATTGTTTCCAAGTGATGCTTCACTTTCCAGGCAGTTGTTCGGCCATATCCTCATCTCACTGAACTCTTCCAGGACCAGGCGACGATGATGGGCAAGACGGGTCAGACTGTATCTAAGACCTCCAGGATCTATCGAATATATACCTCTCTGCCTCTTGCTCTACTTCGTGGCCTTACTACCAGTATGAGTGTTGTTGTAGTATGAAGCCTGTTGTGCCAAGTGGTCACATGTCTGTTCGTGTTGATCTTGCTCGGTTCCAGCCCAACTCCAGTCAACCCATCATGCCTCCCTGGATTGCTGGGCTGCCTGAATTCGTGTTTGGCCAGGCTCTAGATGAGTTACGTTCAGAGATTCCGGCGGCTTGTGATGAGGTGACCCCGCTGGGGATTGCTAGAGATTTGTTCTATGAAATTGGTAATGTTGCCCGTGCTGCTCTTCGTACACGGTTTGCCACACATGCCCAAGATATGCATTATTGAGCTATGCTTGCTCTTCGGGCCAGCCAGATTGGTGACTCCAAGCGTATTCGTACAGCTCTCCGTTGCCATCCTCGCCTGTGTGTCCATATCGCCGATCAGTT